GTATACGTGTGTATATGTATATGCATATGTATGTCATTTATATATATATATATATATATAGTTTTGGCAAACCTACTACAACGTAGTTTTTATAACAAATCCCACAAACCCAGTCAGTTCATAAAAAATTGGCTATTCCTCGGTATTCCACGATGAGTTGGTGCTGATGTCGACCGAATCAATGTTTCATGTTTCTGTGTTCTCCAAACGGAGCTATACTGTAAGGAACCGAATTTGGGGGCGAACTTACTTGGAATGTTGTGCTTGTCCCGGATTCTGCATGGCCAGTCAAGAAGGCGTTCTGACCATTTTTAGCTGAAGTACTCGGTGCTCTCTGATCGATACTAAGTGACACAATAATTCGTTCTAAATGTTATTAAGAGTCTTAATGCACTACACCCTAAGACAACAACGCTTCCCACTGATGATTCTGATAGTATTTATTTTATATATATATATATATATAAACGATCAACCTTCTCTTCTTGAACTTCTTGACCTTGCTGCAGCATTTTACAGCTGCCCAGCATCAACTTCCTAAAAATTGAACGGAAATGATTTTATTTTTATAAATTATCTATCCAACCGGAGAATATTTTTTTAATCTATAAATTTTTTATTTATTTTATTTTTGAGGAATTGAGGTCACTGAGTGTGAGAGTGACTTCCCTCTTTTGTTTTTTTTAAATAGCAAAAATAAAACATAAAATCAAAAATATAAAATCAAAAAGAACATAATTTTCTATCCGGACGTCCATTCAGAATTTCGGACATGTGAACAAATATTTATTTTGAACAGACAAAGCCCTAAAAATGACTGAACAAATGGTCTCTCTACTAGTAGGACTCTCTCTCTAGTAGTAGGACAATTTAATCCAGGACGCATGTATGACCAAATGGGCGACAATGCTGGTCAATGATGAAGTATAGGCTTATAGCCTATATTCAGGTTGGACCCTTGGGTTGGACCCTTGGACAATGGATAATTGGACATATTGTAGCCTGTTTTTTTTATTGGGTTGTTTTTTGAACACAATTTTTTCCTTTATCTTTTTTATCTCGAGGAGTGAGGGCTGATCTTCAGTGGACAGTGGAGTGTGGACAGTGGAGTGTGGACAGTGGTGTGCGCCAGTGACGCCACAGTGGGACTGGTTCGTGGGGATTGGTGATGAGTCATACTGTCGATTTTAAACTTGAGAAATCTGATGGGTTTTCAAAATGTAATATTATATATTTATCCAGATTCCAGAGAGCTCTCGCTGGGCTCTCTCACTCGCTAAATATCGATATTTTGTTTTGAAGAAAAAAATATCATTATGTACAAAACAAACTGTTTGTTTTATTACCGTTTCTCTTCATTTTGTATTTACTTATTTCTGTTATGGTGCAATTAATTATTTTATAGAAAAAAACCATTGTAAAAACAACAATAAATACATATTTACAATGTTCGTTTTTGGAAGGCTATTTATTATGATATTTGCCTTCTGTGTTTTATTTTTCAAAATTTGGTTTATTTGTCTGAAGTCAGAGGTTCTGAGCCCTGAGGCTCTGTAGGGTATTGTATTTTTTACATAAAAAATACAAAACAATACATACAGTCATACCTCTTTATATGACTACCTCTTTATATGTCCAATTTCAATTTTGACCAACCCCCTATATTTGAATCCGGTCTTTCTAGGCTGGTCCTGAAGCCTGCTCTTAGAGGTTTTAGGGGTTTTCAATGTGAATATTTCACCTTTCACCTCAGCTTGACGGTAGCTTTATCTATAATACATACACTAGAGTACGTACTACAATAGATCCTGATGGGAGACACTTCTAGTGGTGAACGCTGTTGTGCGAAAGGATGCACTACAACGCACCCAGTGGGTGGCGTACACAAATGTGCTGGTTGCGATCGAGGTATGCGTGCCTTTTGTGGCGTGCATCTTGGTGAGGGGTATGACTCAAATTCAATCGGTTACTGCCTGTCTACAGTTAAATGCCAGCCACCGAATGACATGTGGGAGTTTGGTTTCACTAATAACAGACAGACAAAGCCAGACGAATTGACACAAAGCGCACCTACAACGAGTGAACCAGGCGGTTCGACACCACAGTCGACGCCCAAGCAGGATGTATCGTCTGGTATGAATGGAGTATCTAGTATGATAATAGATAAGCTCACTGTTGGTAAGAAGAAGAAAATATATAAACAGACTGTATTATCAAAGGGGAGTTCCAATACAACAAAAAGAATCAATCTAACAAACAAGGATAAAGGTGACATCGTGCGTACAATCTAGAAAGCGGGATACAGCTTAGACCTATCATGGAAAGACAACAATCGTAAGGATTTAGTTAAGGAGGCCGTGCGGGTAGCGCATGCATCATTCGGCGTCAGTATCAAAACAATAAGAAGGTTCATGGAGTCCGGAGAGAAGATACTCAGTCAGTATTATGAGTTACATGCAAAAAAGAAATATCGAGAAAGGAGAGGAACATATCACGAGTTCGAGAAGCGTTTGATTGAGTGGGTCGGTAAGGTTAGAGAAGCTGGTTTTAGTGTAAGTCAGGGCTTGATCGTCACGAAAGGGAAGGAGTATTTAATGAGTGCGCCTAGACCTCATGGTGTGACCCATACTCCTATAGGTTGGACCTGATGGTATGAAACTGACCCAGATTTGTCTTACCTCTTTATATGTCCAAATATTTGCCAATCCCGGGAACTGGACATATAAAGAGGTATGACTGAACTTTTTAGTGTGAAAAAATATGCAAACTTGACAATTCGACATAGACGTGAATCTCTGGAGTCGACTGAGTTGAACCGACTCAACTAAGAGTGGCTGTTCGGTCTCTCTTATTTTCTATTTTATACTTCTTCGCTCCCATATCTCAGAAATACAGACTCGAGAGAGGGTCATGAACTTGGTGCGTGGTAATACCTTCACATATTTATGTGCTGGTGCAGTAGACGAGACAACTTTATTTATAGAGAAGTGGCAGTTTGTCTCTCTGCGGTATTTACTTTGTTGGCGTCACTTATATTTAAGTGATACGTACTACTACATTTTAGATGCATAATTCAACAAGGGAGGTGAAACCCTCGAGTTCAACGAAGGGAAGCACACGCGAAATCCCAGAAAGTATGACACTTTCAGCACCTGGAAGTCTAGAGAAACAGGCGTCGGCGCCGAGTCAGGTCGTTGTTGAGAAAGTTTTAGCAGCCCGAATAAGCTCCACAAGATTACAACCGCCGTCTTCTAAGACAGACTCCGAAGTCGAATTGATCAGGTCATCATGGCGAGCACTATTGGCCGGAGACGGTACAGCCGCACAGATGCCTCTGCTGAGGTTTGTTGAGCAGTATTATAAACGGCTATTTCGACTTTTTCCAGATTCGCGAGGTGTATTCAAAACACGAGATACCCAAAGTAAGTCGCTAAGTTTGCTGTTGAGTATTATAATTAACGTTGCCGATGAACCGGAGCTTGAGATGAACGCGAAGAAGAAAAAGTTGGAAATGATGTACAAAGAGTACGGAATGAACTCACTTTTGGCTGTTATTGCCGGCCGTGTACTCATACAAAGTTTGCAGGCGTTTTTAGAAGCATCGAACAAATTTCAAGCGAGTGTTAAGGACGCATGGGTTAAATGTTATACGAGTATCGCTGATCAGCTTCTCTTCAGAGAGAAGGACTCCATTTCACAAAGGAAAATGATAGAACTAATCGATCAGTTAGATGTGGGCGATCAGGAGTGGATGATGAACGTATCACGTGACGAAGAACTGAAACCCGTCACGAAGGGCAAGAACTGGCGATACAAACTTGTAGCATTGAATAAGCGCATGGTGAGTGGCCCTAGTATCGGTAAGAAGCTGAAACATACCCTCACATCAACGTCGGATCTCGAAGGGGGCTTGTCTGCAACCTCAATTGAAATATCTGCAACTTCAGTTGAAATCTCGGGATCAGATGACGAAGCTTTACCGACTCGCGCCAAAATGAGTGACGGTAAACTCAGACGGAGGTCCACACAGTCTTTGAATGGCGATTACCACTCGAAATTTACCTTAGGTAGTGAGAATGATAATAATACTCGACAGGTGACACGCTCTTATAGTAGTCTAAAAAGTGGGAAGGACAGCACAGTCACTCCCAGGAGGGGCCGCAGTAGTAACAGTCAACTAAGGAAACCGACATTTCGTGGAGGCATAAGCAGTGCGAGCGATGGTACGCTGTGTTTGGGCATTGTGGAACTCAAAGAATAGAAATTAAAGCAGCATTTGTGAGTGATATTTTTATTGACTACTAAAGCTATACAGATTATATTTGGGGATAAATGGCTTATTATCCCGAAGACCCGAACGATGATAGGGCTCTTTTTTGCGTCAACTGCCAACAGGGATTTTTTTGGCATAGGTCAATTGCACCTCACTCTCCAATAGTATATTTAATTCATGGTGCGAGATGTGCTCATGGCTGATCGATATTTTGTATAATATTAGTGACCCGCAACATACAGACAAACACGATTCCACATATTTAATCTTTTTTTAAAGAGAGCTTTGAAACGTTTATGCCGATCATAAAATAATCATATATATCGAGGGGGTGGTCAGTTACATGATGAAATCGATTCCAGTGATAGACATATCTGCTTGGGAGTTCAAAAATAGTTGCTTTGCCTTTACTAAGTCCTGCCTCGAATCCACCGCCATTGCTGACCTAAGCAGCAAATGGAAGCCAGCTCTGACCGAGGTATATTTTACGGTGTGTTGGCCACAAAATACGTGAGACTAGAACTTGATTTAGAATGCCAATAGCCTGACAATAGCAATACATATCCAATAGGTAAGTGACTCAGACGTCAAACAAAATGTGCTGTGTCAACATAATCATTGTCCATGTTGTCGTTTTGAATCTAGTCTTGACATATATACGCCGTTTGATGGTTATCAGTTTTCTTTATATATATATATATATACATATATAAATATATACATACATACATATATACATAGATACATACATTATAAATATATACATATATACATATATACATATATACATATATACATACATACATATTTATATATATACATACATACATACATACATATATCATACATACATACATGCATACATACATACAT